AATATAATAAATCTGAGTAAATCTATAGATCTAAAATAGATATACTGATAAATAAAGTGTAAATTTACATAGATCTATTTATATCTGTTTAGATCAACTTTATATCTACTTAGATGTAATTAGATCTCTTTTTCTATTTTTTTTATCTTGTTAGATTTAAATTAGATCTATTTAGATTTAATCCATTTTTTCCCGGGCTACTTTTGACATGTTGTTGTTATTTGACATATAATACATTGGCACCTATGTAAGTTTTGTTAATCATTGGTTCTTATAATATTAATTTTTTATTTATACATGGATTTTATATATATATATATATATTTTTTTTTTGTACAGACGTTTGTCTGAAGATGATCCAAATTTAGGGTCGAAACGTTACTTTCAAATATTAATAAATGCTTAATTGTTACACACTAACATCCGTTGTTGAGACTCTTATTGGCCCTTTGACCTTCCTTTTTTATAATTTTTATAAAGAGTAAAGTTTTCACAAACACAAAAAACAGACAAATAAAAAAATTACTTTTGTCTATTATACTCTTTTTTTTATTTAAAATTGCTGGATGGACTTTTTCTAGTCAGGCGCTAGTAATAGTCGAGTGCGCTGGAAATCGACTATTACAACAATAGGGAATCTCAATACAGATTGAACTTAACGGTATTTGGATTGAACCTGATGGTTTATAATTGAAAAAAAAATATGTGCGCATTTGTAGTACAAAATTTATAATACGTTAAGAGAACAGGCGCGTAAAATAATTGACTTTTATTCTGTGCAATTTATAAGTCAATTTATAATTTGACAATTTTTATTAGTTATCGGTAATCTTTGTTGTGAGGAAACTTTTTATTTATTTATCTATGTATAACCCAGTTCTTTTCTCTTACAATATGTATAATCTAGTATTATGTGATTACTCGGTTTACTATAAGATCGCATGCAATGTAAATAAGATGAAAGAAGACTCGACATAAAATTCTTTTTATATTAGAATTGTAAAATGTAGAAAAAAACAACAAAATCGCTACATCCCAGATAGCCAACTGAGTGCAAGTTGTTGGCAACTTGCCACAAATATTACTCATATCCCGGTAAAAACTTTTTCATATATACTTATACACAAATTAAAATAATTATATCTAAGCATGCAAATTTATATGCCAAATATGTCCATACAATTTTATACACGGAGAATTTCTTTTTTTAAGAGAATGGCTTCAGAGATATTCCATATCAAATTACAAAATAACTCTATTAGTATCGTGTTAAATACAAAAAAAGTATATAAAACTATATTTTTACTATATTTTAAAAA